CGATGCATCGCCTGGTCGAACCCTCTCACTCTCGAGACATTTCGTCTTCGGCATTAGGTGGAGATCGTCAAGGAAATTGACAACACACAGACGAGATTCGACTTGAATAGTACTCATTTCCTTCAGATTTTCTTTCCTCGATAATTACAAGGGCTTGGTCAAGGTATGTCTCTATTCGCACGACGACCAACCTCGATCAGAACATACTTGCGATACATGTTAGGCGAAAATCAAGGACATCACCGATTTGAAAAAGAGCCGAATGGTAGTCCAAGTTTTGTAAAGGAATTTACAGTAACGGATAATGCGGTCGGGGTGGCGTCAGTATTCAAAGAAGTCTATTCGTGTTCTGAAACTGGAGGTCCTCGTTGGCAGGTGTTCGGCGTCGAAGCTGGCCGCGGCGTCTACAAAGTTGAATCGAGCGATTTTCTTGACCATTTTATCAAAGAATAGAACTATAAGTAGTACTTACCTTATTTCAATGCCATCCACTATGATATTTCTAGACATTTAGGACCGCACAAAGGCTTGGCCGGAGATTTTTCCAGATGCTATATTCAGCCATTGCTCAGCTTGTGTTATAAGTCTATATGATATAGTCCGACGAGCTTAACTCCGGAGAAAATTTAAATAGATTATTTGGTCCAATGTGCCACAAAAAACAGCAGACTCTACTAGAACTTCTCAATAAATTATCTTAAGAACCCGATAAGTTAGATATTAGGTTTTAGCGAGTTATAGTACAATAAAAAAGTTGTGTGGTTCAATCTGAGGCACTTGGTTTAAAGGATTCTTTTTTATCCGCTCAAATCCTTCTTTATCACATTACTTCTCGGTATCAGTCCAATTATGGGTTATCGGAAGAAAATTTGAATTTTCGTAATTTACTCGGGGCAAATTTGAATATTCATTTTCGTAATTACAAAAAATCATTATTTTCCTTAGAGAGGTTTATTCATTAGATTATCAAAATTTGTATCTCGTTTTACGATGGGAACTATGCCCTCATGTTGCCCATATACCTGAAAAATCATCCTTCAGTACTTTGAATATGTCTAAAAGTTCCATGATTTCCATCTCTATCAAATACGAAGCCGGGATGTAGAGGAGGATCAGGGGGAGGGGGTGGGGGCAGGGTGGTTGGTTATCCGCGGAGATCAGGGGGAGGCAGAGACGGGTTCAATTGTGTTGAGCCCAGGGATGACCGTGGAGAGCAGACATACCGCAATGCACTATATCAAAGTGCCAAGGTGCTGCACGCAACCAAGTTAAAAAAGGTTAGATTCTCCGGGGTGAAATGTTGGTACATTTAATTTGTTGATATAGGGCCTTCCTTTCTGCATCAAGGGCTGTACAATTAAGCAGGTAATGGGGGAGTTCTTCAGTAATTTCCTTGTCATACCGTGTACATATTGTCGCGTGTTGACCCAACCGGTTCTTTGCGACGACGCGCTTCTTCCCTTCGTGGTTCACCTACTTAGGCTCCCGTTGCTCTTCCCTGCGGCTTTTCCCCGCAGGCCACCCAAAGACGTCCTGAGCTCCACCTCTCCAGTAGAAACTCCCTTCCTCTGGCAGTATCTCTCGGCCTTACCACTGGTGGGGGGACACGAGAGACTTACCAGAAGAGTAGTAGCAGCAGCAGCCTGGCGATGATGACAATAGCGAGAGTAACGACAGGAGGCGGCACGGAGACTTGAAGCACTTCTTTATTGTCATCTATTACTAAACAATACGTCTAAATAAAACAACAAACAATGTGTATTTACATGACCCTACATCCTGGGGCCAACACAAAAGCGTATTTACATCCAACCTCCCCAGGAAACGGGACCACAGCAGTCGGCGACTCCCACATCGGCCAGCAAGGGAATCCGGCGAAAGCGCCATCTATTGGCGGAGGTTGCAACCATTTAGAGGCCTTACACGTAACAATATTAAGTTTTTGTCCTCAAACGTCAGAACGTGTTTTTTTTTAAGACTGTAAATAGTATTCTTGATTGAGCTATACATCGTTTGACTGGTAAATGGAAATCATCGGTTAGGTAGCATTCCATTTCTATTGACACGTATGGAAATTTTTATAATGTGGATAAAGTTTTGAATTTCTTATTTTTTGATAGGTCTTCTTGTATATATATATATAGATTGATCTGACATTGTCCTAATGATCAATGGAATATAATCTTGCAATATATTGTAATCCGAGCATCCAATAAGCCATGAGAAACCGGTGTTATTTAATGTATTTGTTAAACTCTTTGTAAATCCAATATTTTGTCTTGTAGAGGTATAAACATCCCACAAGTGAGCCAAACAGATTGAAGATAATCTCGTAGTGTCCATTTTTAACATTCATAGCCAGAATTTTAACAATAATTTCTTTGCTATAACTGAGAGAGATGTTTTTCCTGTTTTTATCCTTAAAATATATCCCGGGGTATAATTTGGGAGATTTAAATATCGTCTCAAAAGGTATCTTGGATTTATTCAATATTAAATCTAGTTCATCTGACCAGATTGAAGAAGCATATAGTAGAGTTGTTTTAACTATGGTATCGAGCAGCTTCATTGTTGAGTGAAAAGAATTTAACTTGGATTTCATAAGAATCTCCCATACTGCTCCTATAGCTGCTATGGCCTTACCCTTAAAATGAAGAGCTGTTTAGGTAAATAAAATTGATGGGGTTAGCGTATATCCCAGGTATAAATATTTCTGTGTAGAGTTTATTATTTGTTGGCTCCAGTATCATTTTTCAGATCGTGCTGGTTTACCGCCGTTTCGAAAAATCATCATTTTTGACTTGCTTTCATTCAAAGTTAAAAAATTAGTTTCTAAATATGTTTTTAAAATATTAATTTTCATTCGAATATTAATTCGAGATTCACCGATTAAAACTATATCGTCCGCATAAATCAGTATTTGTATGTTTTCAAAGTTAGGTAAATATATTCCTGGCAAATTCGAGTCGTCAAATATTTTGCTGAGATCATTTATGAAAAGCAGGAATAAATATGGGGAAAGTGGTTCTCCTTGCAGAACACCTGATCTTATCTTTATGAATTCCGTGTAGGAAATATTCCAGCGGACCGCTTCGTAGTAATTTTTGATTAAATTCACAAAACTATAATTTAGGCTCATATCAGTCAGTTTCATCCACAGTAAAGAGTCCACGAAAAAAAGCATAAAAATTTCTTCTCTTTTTCCCCAGTGTAAGTTGAATAAAAAATTGCCAATACAGCATATTGGTTTATCTGACCTTTTGAAAACCGAAATTTAGAACAGAGCATGAATGGAATTTATTAACCAAAATTAGATACTCTAGTAGGTTGTTCTTTCCTAAAGTATTAAGAGGGTCCATTCTGCTCACCCAAAATATTTTAACATACGATACGAATATCAATAGATCAATAATTTCATAAATACCAAGTAAAAAAATGAGAGAGAGCTCTTCTCAATATATAGTCACTATAAACACCTAATACACTCATTTATTCATGATTTCAAATCTTCTATTTCAAACCGAAATGATCGTTGAGTCTAACAATAGGTATTCTGGCTAGTTTCCCGTAAAATTTTGTAGCAAAGTATTTATTATTTTATTAACAGAGTATCATTTTTTATGTTTATACGGACTGTATTTTGTTATTCTGTAAACTCCCCTCATTGCTTATCTTTTGTTTATCATTCATAGTTTGTTCTCGCCTTAAATAAATTGATGTGTCATCCAAGTTTGTCTTTCCTAATTTTCCACGTGGCATTTTGGTGGAGATGCTGGGTAAGTTAGGGAAGACAAACTGAAGATCGCCGAGAAGACCTAGAGGCCATGAGTTCTGTGGTCTACATTTTCGGAGACTGGCTCCAGGATTCCACCGCCGTGTCAAAGCCCAGACTTCCTTCAAAGATGACGATGTCCCTATAGACGACGATACGACGACAAAGCCGCTCTTCACGCCGCAAGAAAAAGGACGCAAAGTTACTAGGGACAAAGTTCCAAGACTTCGATGGAATCCTTGGCAGAAGCACGTCAGACCCATGTCAGTATCTACAATAATTGCAAGCTGTGGGTCACAGCTCCCATAGGGAAGGAGCTATGTAGCAAATTATTTATTATTTTATTAACAGAGTATCATTTTTCTATGTTTATATGTTGCTACTCTGTAATCTCCCTTCATTGCTTATCCTTTGTTTATCATTAATAGTTTGTTCTTGCCTTAAATAAATTTATGTGTCATCCTGAAGTTTGTCTTTCCTAATTTCCCTCGTGGCAATATGCCTAGAATTATAGTAGAATGCCCTTGGCTTAATATGTGAGTTATGCTGAGATGAAATTCAAGATAGGATGACCATTTTTCATTGATTCCATCTTTAGGATGAAAGATAAGAATTGGCAGTTACTCATTGCAAGTAAAATATTTGTTAGATTTTTCCTAATTCATTATCTGATGCGAGCTATGTCTACTTGTACTGTTAGTTTTTCAGTTCATTAGAAAAGCTGATTATATCGTAAATTAATTAAAAATAAATTATGCGACAAGGTACTCAGTGGCTGTTATATTTCTTCATCAAGTTTTCATATAGCTGATTACATATTTACTCATTAAAACTTTCTACCTTTGTTTGCTATTTCTACCTTTCTTGGACTCCTGGTGCAATATGAAAAGTCTTAATAAGGCTCTTATTTTAGCGTTAGGTCAATAAATGTCTGATTTAGAACTATACCGCTAGCATTTAACAGAGAAATTCAATGATTGATTTAAATCAAAATAATATTTGAAAAGAGATTAACCTGATTTGACGCTATATGTTATTGTGTGATTATTATTCTATTACGCACACATACTTATTAAAAACGACATTTGAAAATTATACCGCATGTGTTTCTTTTAAACGAAAAATTGAAATTTTATTTTTAAGGAGAAATAACGATTATTTCTAACCTTAGGGATGAAGTATGAAAGGATGAATTGTGAAGAGTAATGATAAACGGAAAAATAAAAGTGTTCAGGGATGGGAATCGAACCCACAGTGTTCTGCTTACCGGGCAGATGCCATGTCCACTAGGCTACCCTGGACATATTTTTCCGTTCGTAAATATTGTATGAGGTAATATATAATACAATATAATGTGGCTTGTGATTGTAAAACGACATTTGAAAATTATACCGCATGTGTGTTTCTTTTAAACGAAAAATCGAAATTTTATTTTTAAGGAGAAATAACGATTATTTCTAACCTTAGGGATGAAGTATGAAAGGGTGAATTGTGAAGATGTCGTTTTTCAATCATAAGCCGCATTATATTGTATCACATACTTATTAACCTGAACGTGGACATTTAATTTTTTCTTTGATTTCTCTTCTCAAGTGAGTCATAGTTTAAATATTATCATAGATATTTGATGATTTTTTTCTTTCTCTGATTTTGAAATCTAAAGGTTTTATCCGTACCTTTTTATTTGGACCCGTAACTCAGTAACGAAATTTAAATTTCAAAATTCGGGCCTTGTCATCTTATCTCTGAAGTTTTCTTCTATTTATAAACACACGCCAATCGTTGAGATTTGTTGAAAATTTGGAAGAATTCTACAGAAAATCCCTATTTAAATAAATATGTTCGAAATCCTATACATTGTGTTTTTCTGGATTCATTTCAAAATTAAAGAATATTTTGCACATGTACAAATATTACTGACAGACACCTCTTGGTTAAAATCCGTTAAGGAAACTCGGAGAAGTTTCCGGAAAGGAGAAATCCCAATCCAATGAAATGTGTTCTAATTTTATATCCTATATATTTAAATTTTTATACAAATCGGAAGAGTCATTAATGGACACTTCAATCGTTTAAATCCGTTTAGAACTTAGAAAAGGTTCTCCGAAAAAGCTTAATTCTATAAAATATATAGTTAGAAGCTTAGTATAAAACTTTGGTTTAAAGGGTATGATTCAAGTGTAATAGAGCAACGATTAATGAAAATTTTTGAACAGGCAATGATTGATGAATAACTAAGTCTAAACAGGAATATTAAAAGAAAATTGTTTAAAATATTCGAGTTTTTATTAGGTTGAAACGGAGGTTCAAGTTCAAAGACGTTCTTGGAACACTTACTTCCTTAATCAATTGAAGCCAACTTTGAAGTCTTCAGGATCTGCATTTGGTTCTTTCGCAGTGGCCTGGGAAGAAAAGTTTTGTTTTCAATTACCACATTATGTAATAGGAAAGAAAACGATGCAAAGAATCGTCTTTACTACTTAGTCTAGCCATAAATATTGTTACAAAACCAAATCAGTGATAAGAATTTTAATTTGACCGCGTGAAGTATTCAAAATACAGTAGTTGTTATTTGAATATATCGTGCACACGTGTTTATTAAAAAAATCGGAATATATTTGTTTTTTGATAATGGATTGGGGTTTTAAAGAAAACCGTATAGCTGTAATAGCCTTACACAAGGTAGGCCAAAGTCCTTCATCCATTTTTAAACTTCTACAAAATTTGAATATTACGCGTCAATTTGTTTATCGGACCATTGAAAGGTCAAACAAGGCTGGCACTATTAATGACCTTTAAAGATCTGGTCGACCGCGCGGGAAACGAACGCAAGCAGCTATAAAAGCCATTCGCGAAAGAATTCGTCGAAATCCACGCCGCAAACAAAAGATCTTAGCAGAGCAGAAGAATTTAGCTCCAAGAACCGTTTCCAGGATGATCAACGAAGACCTTGGACTGAGAGCTTTCAAACGACTCACAGGTCATTTGATAACCCCTGCTCTTAGAGATATTAGAATGGTTAGATTAAAAATGTTGTTGGCGTGGCATGAGAGAATCCTTTTCACAGACGAGATATTTTTCACTTTCGAGGAAAAGATTAATCGTCAGAATGATAAGATATATGCTCGTAGCTCTCTAGAAGCTTCTTTGAAAGTCAGAAGACTTGAAAAAAGTCACCATCCTTCTTCTGTCATGGTTTGGTGGGGAGTTGGGCTACCAAGGTGTAGCAGATCTTCACTTCTGTGCCAAAGGGGTAAAAACTACAGCTAAAAACTATCAAGAAGATATTTTGGAACAAATAGTAAAGCCTATGAATACAAAAATGTTTAATGGAGAACATTGAATATTTCAAAAAGATTCAGCCTTGCTCACAAAGCCAAGTCAACTCAACAATGGTTGGAGACGAATGTTCCGGAGTTCATAAAGGTCAATGAATTGCCCTCTGAAAGCCCTGATTTAAACCCCCTTGATTACAGGATGTAGGCATATTTAGAGGAGAAGGTGTGCTCTAAAAGATATCATAATTTGGATCAATTGAAATCAGCATTGGTGGCCAATGAAAGAAATACCCTTAGAAAAGTTGCGTGCCACCATAGATCAGTGGCCCGAACGTTTAAGACCCTGTGTCAAAAATAAGGGAGGACATTTTGAATGATTTTATATATTTAAAATCTATGTCCTATTGGCTAATAAAATATGTATTTATATATTCCATTAGTTTTTGTTTTTAATCATTTAATTTATAAAATTGTTTGTAACAGAATTTATGGCTAGACTCTGTATAAAAGAATAGTTATTATATTATAATTAAAAATCTAGATTCAGAACAACTATGTCAACAATATCCTATGCTAAACAAATCTCTGAATGTACTGAGACAGAGAGGAAGAACGCCTTTAGAGGGAAGTAGCTCCTTAAGGTCCATCTCAAACAGTTAAAGAGGAAGTAATAAAAGTGATTTGCCTTCATTTAGAATTTATGGCAAAATAAAAATGCAATTGTGTGGCGTTTGTTAAGTTAATAAGTTGAGAACAAACGGCCTCCATAAAGTGGGATTAAGTGCCTCGTTTCCGGATTGCATACAGTTCGTCTGCCCAATTTATAGGCGTGGCTGGCGGAGATAAGAACTTCTTCGTCTGTTGTCTATTACGTTGATTTCAACTCCTAGAAATAATGCGAAGGAAAGACGTTGTACGGCTCACTAAATGCTACTCGTTTTTATAGGTTTTGATTCATCAGTGTAATGGAGCCGTGGGTATTTTTATAAAGATATATAAACGTGTATATATAAATGTTTAAACATATTACATTTGTCATTATCTTCATCTGAGGCTGCCAACACACATACCGTCAGGAAAAAATAGATTATCTATGACATGATAAAAAACGGATATATTGGGTTGCAAATAAAGTTCGTTTGGTTTTTGTATCCCTTTGTTTCATAACGGTTTTTTGTTGTTATACGGTAAAGTGTTTATATTTTTAAAATAATACTTGTTCTTCTCTACAAACCTGTATTATTATTATTTTTTTTTGAAACACGTAATTTTTGTTCTTTTTCCAGGCTTGAAAATGGAATATCCAGGAGGCAAAAAAACAACATTTCGACATCTGCTTTTCTTCGCTTTTCATTAAGGTCAAAAAGCAGCCGAAGCAGCTAAGGACATATGCAACGTGTATGGAAAAGGTATCATTGAGGAGCGAGCAGCACAAAAATGGTTTGCAAAGTTCAAAAACAGTGACTTGGACCTTGAAGACACACCTCGAAGCGGACGACCATCAGAATTAGATGAGGAACATCTAAAGGCCCTGTTGAAGGAAGATAGTCGCCAAACAACCCGTGAGTTGGCCGTAAAATTGAAATGTAGTGCTGTGCCATTTACAACCATCTTCAATCAATAGGGATTTCTCAAAAACTCGGAGCTTGGTTGGTTCACGAGCTTAATCAAACCAACAAATAAAATCGCCTTCAAATCGCTGCTCAACATCTCGCACGCCATCAATCAACACGGAGCCATAAACAATGATTTTTATACCGAATCGTTACGGAGGATGAAAAATGGTGTCTATACGTGAATATGAAGCAAATAAAAGAGTGGGTGGCTCCAGGAAATACGCCGAAGCCAAGCATAAAGCAAGATCTTCAACCACAAAAAGCTATGATCTACGTTTTTTGAGACTGCGAAGGTGTGCTGTACTGGGAAATGCTCGAAAGGAATGCCACGGTCGACAAGAACCTCTACATTGCCTGAATGCATTGCATGAATGAGGCTATTCAACAGAAAAGACTCGATCGACAAGGTCAAATCATTCTCCTTCACGACAACGCTAGGCCGCATGTTGCACACAAGTCGTCAAGGCCAACTTTCAAGAGCTCGAATGGGAAGTTCTACAGCACCCGCCGTACTCTCCGGAACTTGCACCAACCGATTACCACCTTTCCGATCCATGTCAAACCATATGAGAGGCACTACCTTCGATGATGAAGAGGACCTCAAAATCTGGTCAACAACTTCTCCGACACCAGACCGGGCGATTTTTGACTGAACGACATCAACAAACTAGTCGAACGTTGGGAGGAGGTCGTAAATAATAACGGAGAATACATAATTGATTAATTAATTGTTATAAATAATGTTTTTTTTGTTTAAATAAAATTATCGAATAAAACCGAACAAACTTTCTTTACAACCCAATATATAAGGATAATTCAAAACAAATTGCAGGTTTAAAATTAAAGTAACGTATTTTCTATGAGTATCCGATTAAGGTTTGTAAGCCCTTGGTTTGAAATAAGAGTTTTTCGAGGTTCGAATTATTCATGTTGTGTAGTAAAAGCCAACTGCTCGGTTTAGCCGGGCATAAAGCAAGGAATAAAGCTCTCAAAATCCATCTCAATGTTCTAAATAACAGTTAACTATTAACAGTCTCCTTTCACGGATAAATTCATGGTATAATGCCTTTACTGCTGTACAAATACGCCAACATTGTTTAAAGACGAATATATTTTGCCTTTTGGTGAGTCTGATTTCCATTCAATACTTTGCAGTTTAGCTGTAGGATTAAAGCGAAAATACCATTTTTATTTGCCGCCACAATTGAATTAATGAATAATTGTTTTTAGTAGTTGTCTTAAAAGTGTGTCTTTTTAAAGCATATTCAACATATTAATGTTTTTACGTAAAATGCGGAAGAAACTTTTTCCTTGCCTAATTTTTCCCACTATTATTCAACGAATTGTTTCACTATCAACAACATTTATTTCATCAACAATCAATTCTGCTAGTCATCAGCGAGAGAG